GGGATCCCAAGCAAGACACCCGCCAAGTGTGAAGTAGATGGGATGAATGGTTCCCCAGATGTGCAGAGTATGCACACACACATACAGGGATTTCTTCTGTTGTAGTTCGATGCACTATACGCCACAGCAGACGACCTGTACCACAGTTTCATCCATCTACAGTACGCTGTATTTCATCTGCTTCAGCCTGAATAGTTTCATTCCTCACATCCAGGGGACAATGCCTGTCAACTGGTATTTGTCAGCACTAGAGCGTTGCCGGCCATACTAATATAAACTCCTGATTGTGCTCATAAAACAGCATAATCATTTCCCTGGGACTCCAGAGATGCAGCAGCCGGCCACAGTGACAATAATAGCATCATTCAGCTGCATGGAGCAAGAGGGGTGGGGAAGTTAAGAGGTACAGTGTGACGAGTATAATGACTTCTAAATACTTTGCTCATACGATTACTCTGCTGCGGTCGACGGGTTTGGTGTCACAATGTTTAATTGGGTTTACCATTGGATTACAGTAATCGACTGTAGAACATTTAGGTGACAGAAATACGTTTTGAACCTTAAATAGATGCTTTGTTGTGCTGCAGCAGTGTTTGGAAACGTAGCTGATCGTGGATCCGTGATATTAATAAATTACTGATTTGTATTTTTTTTTCTTGGAAGCAGCTCAAACTGCGTTTTGAACCGCAATAAAATGGAATTATCAAGCCAGAGCCATTGTGAAAATCAGCTTCTTACTCTGAGTGATTAGGTCCCACGTGATTACTTATATTGCACAGCAGCTTCTCAGATTCTCCGGATTACACAAGATCACACGGAAATCCATCTTTTCAGGGCTCAGTTGGGAAAAGATGATGTCCCACCAACGAGGATTCAGCAACAGCGACAGCTGCAGGTTGTTTGCTTTAGTTGCCACTACCATAATAACTAGGGATGTTTTCCCAAACCTTTAGTAATGAGTAGGCTACTGTATGTTATGGAGATGTATTTAAGATTATGGCTTTAATTTACTCATATCAGACTAATTTCAATACATTGAGAGAAGGAAATGAGCCAACGAGGGGAAGTAAACATCGATGCTTGATATTATATTGTTACCCGTATTATTGTAAAAGTGAAAATCCATTGCCAGACACATGTTATTTTAGGAGTGTACCCTCCAGTTTATTTCTTAAGCTCTTCATGCACTTGGAGACCTTTCTTCTAGAAATGGAGAATGCTGCTCCAGAGAGCGTTTAAAGGACGACAGTTCAACATTTTTCGGAAGTATGCTCATTATTATTAGCTATGCAAATGTCGTTAGCAAATGATCGTTAGCGTTGAAATGATTGCATCAAGCTTTGTCCTTTTTTTTCCTGTTGTTAAAGTTGACTTGACTTTGTAAATGACGTCAGCATGGCCAGTGATAGCAAACACATAACGCGAGTGCAAGTCATTTTCCGCTCAACGTTACGTTACCTGACTTCATAAGTCAGGGTTGTGAAGCTCTAGCGTGTGTTCAGACAGGAGGACTACACTTTTGCATGCTTCGCCTTTTTTTGAACTCATACAGCTGCTACCCACTCCTCTTACTCATGCTCACTCGTCATTTTATTACTGTCATCGTTTGGGGCTGTCAATCACGATATCAGCTGTTCTCATCAGCTGGTCTCTTCTATCCGGTAGCACAGCAGTCCCCCGATCAGAAGATCGGCGGTTCGATCCCCGTCTCCTCCAGTCCATGTCCATGTGTTCTTGGGCAAGACGCTTAACACCAAATTGCTCCCGAAGGCTGTGCCATCAGGGTGTGAATGATTAGTTAGATTTATGGTTGCATGGTAGCCCCTGCTATCAGTGTATGAATGGGTGTGAATGGGTGAATGATGACATGTAGTGTTAAAGCTCTTTGAGTGGTCGGAAGACCAGAAAAGCGCTGTACAAGTACAGACCATTTACCATAAGCATCTTGCTGCTGTCTCTTGTCTCTTTTTGAGATGTGATTGTGTCTCTGCCTTTAATACGTTCATGTTGCCTGCACACGCACCCCTTCACCGCCCAGTCTTTGCAGATTCATCGGCCTCATCAGCCTCAAGCATCAGTGTCTGGACTCCATGGGGGAGTCTAAGCGCACATGACCCGTTAGAATAAACAATTATCTCTTCTTCATCTTACTCGTCTCTATACATTGAAATAAAAATATAACTAAATATTAAGGCGATATTGTTTACCTTGGTGTTATTGGTGGAGGCCGTGTAACACATTTATTTATTGTTATCATTTCTTAACGATTAGCCTGATAAAACATTACAGTACGCAATTTAGTACAGAGGCATGTTCACATGATTTATTGATAAGGAGCCATCGTCGGTGTTTTCTTTGCAGTATTCCCACAATCAGCAGTCCAATCAGGCTTCTGAATGGGTACAAAGCTTTAGATGTGTGGACGAGACCGCAGGGCACGGTAACAATATCACCGTCCCTCAAGTAACGCCCGCTTTCCAACACTTTGGTGCTGTTCGTGACCAGCATCCGTTCTGGCCATCTGTGTGTCATTGGGGGTGAACGTGTACTGAGACGTGTGTCTCACTGAGCATCAAGTGTAGAGTTGAAGTTTTGAGAAGGAAGTTGTTGGGCGTGTTTCATCCTTTCACCTTGAGTGAAAAACTATTAGTCAGAAATCCATGCTGGGGATTAATGTTTCAGTTACAACAGATTAGTTGGATGAAGACATACAAACTTATGACGTTTGAGTCTAGTGTTGGTCTGAGGGGTGTTTTGGGTTTCCAAAGCTACAGTTGTCACCATCTTTAGTGTGTCTTGTGTTTTGCAGTAATACAGGAGACTTAGCAAATACGGTTGCCATTCCTCACTTTCTTGTTGTTCTGGCTCTGCTACCTGTTCTCTCTACTGCAGAGCAGCTGATCACTCACTCAGCGCTTCACCAACACTGCGTTTAGCCAGAGAGGAGAAACGAACACGTTGGATGATGAAGTGACTTATCTTGAGTAAGCATCTAGAAGCAGATTTAGATGAATGACCGCCACATTAATCAAAAGCACTTATTCCTTCTGAGAGAAAGTACAAAATGTAGCCAAATGAAAACAACTTCATCCTTTTGATATATTTTTTTAAATATTAGAATGTTTCTGTTTCTTTGTCCCAGCTGTTTTCCGTGCACCTGTTCCTTTTAGCCTTGGTTAACTAATGTAACATGATTACATTACAATGAGGCTTGGTGCTCAAACACAGTCAACGTTGATGCACAATGTTTTCCTCATGTTGAGTTTTTAATGTCAAGATGTCGGCTGTATTGGCCAGAGGTTTGCGTTCCTCTTGATGCTCTACGGGGGATGCACAACTGTTTGTTTGTGTAGCAGGTGGGCTGCAACCACATGTCATTATGCAACCCTTATCCTTGAATCCTCACATTATATATTAATATATAGTTATAGAAATGTCTTCTCATCATATATAAACATATAGCTGTATAAATATCCACACAGCATATAGAAATATAGTCATAACAAAGAATCGTTATTTTATGTATACATTTATAGTTATGGATACCCTCACATTAACAGATAGATATGAATAAAAATACAGTATATAGAAATACATAGTAATAGAAATATCTTCACACCAAATATGAATATAGTTGTAAGAATACCCTTAAAGAATACCCACATATACACATTATATAGAAATATTGAATGCACATACACATAAAGAAAACAAAACAACAGTTCATCGGGTTTTATTGATTCCAAGGTAACCTTAGAGGGCCCCTCAAGTTAACATTTTATAAACCCTTAGCTGCCACACCTGCCTCCACTCACATGGCCTCCGCTGCTCATTGCCAGCTCGTAGCATGTGGGTGGAGGAGAGAGAGTCTGTTATTGACGAGCTAATCTGCATTTTCCATGCCCGCTCTGTTTGACCTTTGCAAATATTGATTGTTGGAGGCAGTAGCTCAGTATGAGCACTAGTTGCCCTCTAGTTCAGATTGTCTCTAAACAGGCACCGAGAGGTACTATTCAGAAGTGAGGAATATAAGCCAGTATACACAGTATATAGTATATATATATTTATGTGTGTGTATATCTGTGGGTGTGTTTTTTTTCTTTTTTCTTGCAGCATGAGTTTAACATGTCTATCGGGTAAAGAAAGAAACTCATTTCCATGATCCCTGCTTAATTACTTCTCATGCGCCATTAGCCCAGTGAGGTCTCCTAATAGTTCCAGCAGGCCGGTCAGAGAGTTTACAGATGCTTTAGTCTGCGTCTGCAAGAGTGATGTCCACACTGCACCCATCGATCATCTCCTGTCATTTTCATACGCTTTGGAGTTAATTTAGCCGCTTCAAGCGCCGACAGAAAATAATCTACAGTAATGAAATGAGACCGAATAATCATGGTGCCTCTGATAATTGAAGAGGTTGAAAAGTGCTGTTGCGATGAGCCTTTAGCGTGATCAGTGCAGAATGTGACACATAATCAACAGCAAAAGCTGCGCTACTCTGGCCTCCTCGGGAATCTGTCTTCACGCCATGTGCTGAGGAAAAAAAGGTCATTAAAATGTTTCCCAACGTTAGCACATTTGTTTGTGCCCCAAAGCTTCTCCCGTAAGGGAAGGGAGAAGCTCCTGAGACGCTTAGCTCTTTTTATTCCGTGCGCTGTAATGCAGCGGCGTTTACACAGTTTAATTACGAGCCTGTCTCACTGGGAAACGGTGGAAGCGAAGGAGGGGTTATTAATGGAAACGGTCCTGAGAGATCGGTTGTTAGTCGGCCTTTTAAAAAAGCGGCGTTGGTGTGAGAGAGAGAGAGAGAGAGAGAGAGAGAGAGAGAGAGGAGAGAGAGGGGGAGAGGGGGAGAGAGAGAGAGAAAAAGATAGAGGGAGAGACAGAGAGGGAGAGAAAGAGAGAGAAAAAGATAGAGGGAGAGAGAGAGACAGAGAAAAAGATAGAGGGAGAGGGAGAAGGAGGGAGAGAGAGGAGAGGGAGAGAGAGAGAGAAGGAGAGAGAGAGAGAGAAGGAGAGAGAGATAGGTGGAACAGTCCTTTCCGCTCTTGAGAGACGATTAAGCGAGACGGCCGGTATCTTCCTGACAGGGAGGTGATGAGCCGATGAAGCGTGTCAAATTTAAAGAGCGTGAGACGCAGCTTCCACTTGCACTTCGATTGAATCCTTTCACAGTTTCCGCATTGACTCAGCTCATAATCACAGGCAGAATTTTAATTTCTGCTCGCCACATGTGCTTCCAGCTCTACACACAAATTCAAAACAACAACAACACTTTCGACTCTGTGAATTTGGCCTTTGGTGTCCCGTGGTAGAATTGTTTCGCTGCATGGTCATTTTGTACGTTACGGACGATGTATGCACCATAAGCATCATTAATACAGTATACAAGCTTTGTTGAAGCTATTTTGGAGGTTTGCGTGGCAAAAGATTAGAGTTTGAAATTGTTTTTATTGAAAGTTAATCCCAGTTGCACATATACTTGGATATGAGGGTGGAGGGTGAGGGTGGAGGAAATACAATCACAACGGAGAAATCAAACACTTTCTTTCTGCTCCTCGTCCTCATGAGTCTATGTCCATTTATCCATTTCACGTGTTGATTCTGAATGATGATAAGACTCCACATTCCTGCTCCCCCTCTCATCTTCCTTAACCCAGTTCAATCAACCATCATCCTGGATTCCTGGAGAAAACTGCTTTTCTCAAGGAGGACCCCAAAGATCGAATATAGAGGTAACTTATATTGATATACTATATATATAAGCCTAATATGCCAACATGACCCCCCATGAAACCAGAAATAGTTTCTTTAAAAAAATGTTACTGTATAAAGTAAACTTTATACAGTAACATTTTAACATGTTAATTAGTGAGCTTTAGAGCTACTTATCTTTGGACAGAGCCAGACTAACCTTTTCTCCCCCTTTCCAGCCTTTATGCTAAGCTAACTAGCTGCCGCTTTATATTTACTGTACGAACGGAGCTGCAGCAATCTTTTCATCTGACCCTTGCCAACAACGTGAAAACGAACATTTCGCAAAATGTCGAAATACGGCTTTGACAAACAGAAAGACGCTGAGCTAGCTATCTCCAAACTGTAGAGTGACTGCTTCTCCTTTTTCTTTTTTAGATGTGTGTGTGTGTAACAGGCCGATTGCTTGGCCTCTGGTGTTGCCGCCTGCATCTTTCCCGAGGTCCGCTCTTCCAAACAACTTCACGCTCAACGCGGCACTTCCTTGGTTCCTGAGCAACGCACACACCAAGACTGAATTAGATCGGACGAATTGTTCTCGAGAAAGTCCCTTGCAAATATGCCCCGTATACATCTCTCTGTCTTTATCTGTTCTTGAATGTGCTGTAGCGAGCTTTACCCAGCATGCCGTTCAGTGATGTACCATTTAATTCTGTAACGAGCACAGAGAGTGAGTTGTATCCAGGATGGCGTTCACACCGTGTGTAAATAACTAATAAATATGTCCCATAGATCTTGAGAGCTCAGACTCAACGCTGCACTTCTTTGTGTCCTCAGCGATACATATTGGACATCAAAACTATTCACACCAGCAGCCCTTTTTTCAATACAAGGTTGGAATAGATTTGGGCAGGCAGAGGACCAACAATCTTATTGACCCAAAGCAGCGTCTGGCAGTCCGTCTGAGGTAAATTGTCGTTAAGCCTAAGCTACTGTAAGATATTTTATTGAGTTTCCTTTTAGCTAAAGGCTCTGAGCAAATTAGAATTCCCTCTGGTACACAGATAAGCAGTTGACTGTATATGTCTACAGCTGTTATTGTGAAAGGTAAGAACAGAAGGAGAGGATCTGGTATGTGCTGCCTTCGCCAAGTGAGAAATGGGGTTGATAAAGTTCCCCGCCTTGGTTTTAGTTTTACAGATCAAGCTCAAAAAAGATTGAAATGAAGAAAGGTTGCTCCAGATGTGAGTAAGATAACTGTTTGTACTCCCGAAATACACTCAAGTAAAAGTGGAAATTATTCTCTTATAACTTACCCACCTCTCAAATGGGGAAAATGTAATAATTATTATATTTTATGGGCTTCGATTAAGTTTTATAGGAGGTTTGGGAAGGACTGGTTTTTAATTACATAGTACATTATAAGGAAACAGCCTCCACTTAATTTGCAGCGCTCGCACGCTGTTTTCATCGGTCCGACTTTCATGAGAAATCATCTCGTAATCCACCGACGGAAAGAAGAACAAAAGGCTTCTGAGCTCTGGAGAACAGGAATGAGTTTTAGCATTAGGAGCTGTCAAAAAGAAAAGCAGTCGAGTGAGAAGTCCTCCGGCTGAGCGGGGAGGCACTGTTGTTGAATCTCTGACCGTGCATTGTTTCCTAGAAGTATGGAAACCTAACTGCAGCTTTCACAACACAGGCATGGGTCGACAGGTACAAGTGTGTACCATCCTCCCGCTGACAGGGTCGTTCTGTTTCTCTAGCTCTGCCGGAGACGTTGTCAGGGATGTCAACGTTTCGACGGAGGCAACGCAAACATTCGCATGATGTCATTTTTTCTGGAAGCCAGTGAAATAGCCGCACTTGTGCTTTCTAATTTGTTGTGTCGAGCCGACGGGCCTGTTGTCTTTGATCTCAGAGGGGTTTTGTTTGCAGTCGATACGTTTGTGAATTGACTGCATGGCCTACTTTTGGGTGACAGCCTTCTGTCAGTCGTCTAAAGGGTTTGCTCCTTGCATTGTCTACCGATCTGTGCGTAACAGTCCTCCCGCCTCATGGAGGGAAAAGCCCATTCAGCTTCCTGTGTACTGTCTCAGTCTAGGAAATTGTTAAAACCTTAGAAAACAAAAAAAACATCATGAATCCATCTAGTAGGTTTCAAATTTCTTGTGAAATGCAATGAGGTGGCGAGGCTGCTGTTTATTCCCATCAGACCGCCAACAGTGAAGGATTTGAGTTGGTTCCTGTCCGAGGAACAAATTGAACTTTGATTTATGCTGGGATTGAAATTGCTTTTGCGACTGTGAGCCAGCTGATATGAGCTTTATCTCCAAGCCTGGATAGGTTGGCAGGTATTAGCGTGACAAATGCAATGCGACAGGAAAATGATTTTGAATAAGAGGTGTTGGGCCAGTATTAGGGTTGGGTGATTGGATGAAGACATCGGTGGTGGATGAGTGGCCTTCACCGTCAGTTGTTTTTTTTTTGGGGGGGGGATTTATGTCATTTTATTTATTTTGCTTCCAAAACGTGCCACACACACACACCACACGTGAATTTTTAGGCAATAGCTGTTTGCCGTACTGATGACGGTTGGTTGAAAAATGATAATATTTCATAACGTGCAGCCGTAGCCAGTATGTCATTTTAAATGTAAGGATAAAGCCCTTGAGATGCATCTTCTGGTTATTAAGGGCGTCCTCAGACTCTAAAACATAAACACATTTAAACAAATGAATAATTAAATAATCCAAGCGACACAAAACAATCAACATAATGACACTGACGAGAACAACAATCAATAAGGACCAAACCACACACACTACAACTCTGTTATACAAGTGGCATCTGCACAACACTAGCAAGAAAAGAACGCTCTATTAACATATCAACAATTTAAAAAGAGACGATAAATACAATCAAAAATGAGAACAAGTATATTTGTAATCAAGCATATGAGTGAAGAAGTAATAGAGTGAGTGTACTGGCAGGGAGAGGGCAGACTCTGCTGATGGATAGCTCTATTCCAGGACGCTCCTACACCCAGCCACTTCCAGTCTTCCACCATTTCTCATTCCATGTACGTTACACAGACTGAAGCTGGCAGCAAAACCTTTTAGAACTTTAATACAGCACCAATCCTGAAAGGAGTTTCCTTTCTGTATATTCCGGCTGGTCCAGCAGCGTGCCATTCTGGGGTTCACCAGGCACTTCTCCACTGTATAGGATTCCACACCAATGCACCAATCAACTCAGGAAAACATGTAATAAGGAACACCCAATCTTGTTTCAATGGTTCTAAATATATTGCAGTTGGTGTCAGATAGATGTGCTCAGTAATCAATGCAGCGTCAGCTTTAAGTGTCTTTAAGGAGCCTTTCACATCAGGGACCCGGGCCTGGATCCCAGTACACTTCTGTTTGATCGGTATGAACACCGTGTGCTGTGCTCTGGCCACTTGAAAAGGTGGTCTGCAGCAGGGTTAAAGTGTACTCGGGTACGGTCTGCAGCAGGGTTAAAGTGTACTCGGGTACGGTCTGCAGCAGGGTTAAAGTGTACTCGGGTACGGTCTGCAGCAGGGATAATGTGTACTCGGGTACGGTCTCCATCAGGTGTGGAAACCAACTCCACCAAGACACGTGAAGTGGACTGCTATTTAAGGTGAGTAGCAGTCAACCAGTGGGCACTGTGGTGACAACCCTGAGGCATCCATCAGCTTACAGTGTGGTATAAAAATTACAAACTGATTGACACCTCAGTGTGTATGTTCATATTCGTATTATTTGTATTATTCTGACCTCTTTGATCTTTTTTGTTTGCTCTTGCTGTGTGCCGATTTGTGATGTGTGATGATGTGTTCAGCTTTGTAGAGTCCAAGTCAGTCCATCCATCCATCCATCCATCTAAACAAATGTCTGTGTTCACATAACTTTGTCTGTTTGCTCTTCGTTGTTGGACAGGTAGTTAACCAGAACTTTATTGCTGGTAACACTTGCCAGCTGCAGCAGGAATAATGTATTTAAAATACATGTTTTGCTTTCTTTCTTTGCTTTGTGTGTTAAAGAAACCAATCATTCCACATCCTACCCACTCCTGAGCTACAGTCACTTACATATGATTGGCTTGCCTTCGTTTGACAGCAGTAAAATCAAACTCACATGTTGTGATTACTATATATTACATCATCTACATATAGTGTTTTATATCGGTAACACGTATCACTGCTCGGGGCTGGCATGGCTTTATGTTCAGTGGTTATCCATAAAATGTTCCAGTGGAGCTGAATGTTGTCAGATTAATTTCTTATGAAGCATGTCTCTGAGACCATCGGGGGGGGGGGTCGTACTGGTAATCACATTGGGACGACATTGAGGAAGTGCACTGATTGAACAGAACAGCAGGGAGGCTTTCTTCCAGCTCCAGTCACTAAGCCTGTTTTAAAGGCTTCAAAATATAACTGTGCTCCTAATCTGCACCCGTCATTCATGTCACAAGTTAAATTAGCGGCTTCTATTTTTTTGAACAAGATTAATCCTCAGCATTTTGTCTGTTTGCATAATTAACAAATATAAATGAATGCTGTAAGAAGGAGGGGAGAACAGAGCTGATGGCACAGGACGCACATAGCAGTAATGCTACGAAGATGAATCTCAAAGGTGCTTATGAGGCTGAATTAAGTACGGAAATAGCAGTAAAGCGGCAGAATGAGCACATTTCGATGTGTAAAAATGCAACAGTACATAATCTGAGTTGTAGTCAGCATCTCCATTAGGCAGAACATGAATGAACACAAAGACAGAAATATGGTCTTCAGTGCACGGCTGTGATTAAGTATGTGAAAGGAACATTATTAGTTTGGATTTAAAGAGATTTACATTCTCATAATCACGATCATCATCATCATTATGAGGTCATGTGGTCAAAAGTCCTGCATATACAGTACATAGACCAAAGTATTTCACATATAATATACACACTTTTCCATGCTTAACAATTGAAAAACATTGAATCATCGGAATTACTTTAAATGTCTTTAATAATTCAAAAGAGTTGCATAGCCTACCATTCCTCCATTCGCCCATTTAAAAGTGACCCACTAGCAAACATCACTCTGTGACAGCAACTGTGGTTTGCTATTTTAAAGCTTTAAATGATAATGATAATAAAAGAAATCATAAAAGCAATAAGAAGTGGTCATCTTCAGTTTGCTCCCGTAATACAGCAAGGGAGAATCAGGATTAGGAACAGTGAGGCTGCTGCATGTTGGATAAAAGTAACAGTAATGCAAAAAGAGTAAATGTCAAGTCAATGCATTTAGCATAACGACACAGTTTCATGCTCCACTGTTATTAAGAATATGACAGTATTTCCAATTTGATAGGGTTCACGTACACATGTTCTTTTGGATGTTCTGTATCAGGCCTTATTCCAAATATCATGTCAATCGATGTCGAAAAGTCTGGGGTTTACCAAAGTCAATAGCATTCCTACTCTGGGGAATGTATAACAATCCATCAAGTGCTAATTGAGATATCTTCAGCCTGTGGTGGACTTTGTCCTCCCTCAAGCTCACCTGGTCTGTCAAGGCTGATTTCTTCAAAGGTGTATTCTGAAGCAGCCATTTTGTGGAAATCAATCATGTGCCACTGGGTTTACTGATGTTGGGCAACAGTGGAACCGTCCTCTCTACTCTACACTTCATTCTCTGCTGGAAGCGTCAAATCCTCGGAGGTCTGTCTTGGTGAACACGCTGTAATCCCCACCACAAACCCCACGCATCATCCTGCTGGTTTGGTGCAAACGAGCGATGATTCATGAGTTAACGCCTGTTCGAGTGTGGACTGTGGTGCTTTTCACATGGTTCCATGCAGTGGTGAGCTTTGTAGACTGGAGGGGGGGGTCCAACAACAGAAGTTACAACGCACAGCTTGTTGACTGGTAAGCGGCAGAATCCTTGTTCCTGAATCGTCCGAGGGCAGCCTAAGTAGGACAGCTCAGCCCTGGGTGTCTTGGAGGTTACCTGACCTCAGTTACAACTGTTTTTGTCAGACTTGCTATTATTAGAGGGCTCACTGAGGCTGCCAGCACACAGCCGGCGGTCTATTCCGAGTCACAAAACACTCTGGGAAAAGGACCAGGGAGGTTGTGAGGGCTGTGTTTCGGACTTGAAATTAATAAGAAATACCCGACTTTACAAAACAGCCAGGTTATCAGGTCTTTTAAAGGTCCTTTCCAATGGTTTAAGCTTGTTTATGCCGAATGACTACTATCTGCTTCCTGCTTCCATTAGTGCCAGCAATGTCCAGTAGCATGTAGCCACCGAAACACACATTACTTAATCACAGTAATTATGCTTTTGCTGGTAAAGTAAAGTTTAATCCTCTTGTTTCTTTATTTCACTTCCACTTTGACACTAAAACTCTAAAACTAAGTAGCTTCAATGAA